CGATTTTGCTGCCCCAAAATCTCGTCAACTTGCAAATGCTTTTTGCACAGAGACTGCAAGTAGGCAAAGAAACCGTGGCAGAGAGGCTGGAGAGGAGACAGATCTTCAAAAGGTAAGTAAAGGAAGATGGGTGGGGGGAGCAATTATGGAGACCCCAGGGGAGGGATCATGAGGTATCTCAGTGGGTTGAGGGAGGCCTTGGGCAGACTGAAGCAGGTGACCTGTTCCATTGCTAGGCCCCCATGGCCTTCCTCACCCAGATAGACCTCATGTGCACTTAATTACCTGTGCATTCGATTAGCAAATGCATGGGTGACAGGAGGGAATGAGCACGGTCAAATTACATGATTCACTCCTATGAATCCTCAGGTTATGAATGTTCCATTACATTTGTAACTTGAGGATTACCTGTAGTAGTTTTTGGACAAAACTCCATTGTGGTAGAAACTATTTCTACTTAATATTAAATGTAATGCTAGGTAGTGGAATACAAGTCCTTGTCTCCTGCATTTGTTTCCTATTTTTCTTTTGAAGCTAATAAGTTGAGTCCACTTTGATTTTTTTTGCTTCTGAAGGTGAACTAAGAGCTCTGAAGGCTTGTCTTTTTGAAGTCCCACAGTCCTAGTGCTCCTAAATCACTGAGCATCTAAATCCCCTTTTCACACAGTGTGTGTCTATGTACAAAAGTTAGCCAGAATTTTGATTCCTTATAGTTTTGCATTCTGTTTGACTATGCCCCACTTTGCTGCTTCTCTCTTACTTAACAAGCCTCAATATTCAGTTTGCATTTCACAGTAAATCCCCAAGACAGTTGTTCAAATCCATGACTTACTTGCTGTTGGAAGCAGTATAGCAGTATGTACCAGCATGTTGCTCATTAATGGTATAAGCTAGTTTTGCCTTGCCTTTACAAATAAATGTACCCATAGTCTAACATGACAAATATTCAGTGTTAAATTCAAAACATTAAACATACTGCATCCTACTAAGAAAATGAATGAGCACTTAATAGTTTGAGATCATTTTTAGAAAAGCTGTTTGAATTGCTGCTCCTTAGCTTTTTCTATATTTCTTGGAAGTGATATTAATATTGTTGGTTATTTGGTGGTTTTTATTTCCCATAGGGTCTAGTGGTTCCTGTCATCAGAAATGTAGAAACGATGAATTTTGCTGACATTGAGCGTGCAATCAATGAGCTGGGAGAGAAGGTAAATCACTCTGAAGGGATCTTCAGAAGAGACAGAATCCTCATGTTTTAGAAATAAAAAATAGAATGTAGCTTTCAGAAATTGAAAGTAACAGAATCAAAATTCACATTCAGCACATTGAGAACAAGCCAAACGATATCTGGGTATTCTCCACCTTCACTAACTTTAACAGTTTAACATGAGACATCCCTCCATTGTTAATTGATCCAGTAAGTATCTGGGTAGTTCAGCATTTTGTTTGTTGGTTTGTTTTGAAGACTAGTCAGAAAGATGCCTCCAGAGTGCAGGTGTGGAGAATAACTTTTTTTCTCCTATCTAGCATAAAACTGATTATAATATAATAAGTTTTATACTGGGTAGGAAGAGAAAAAAAATTATCTCCCACCTTTATTATTTTTTATAAAGAATTCAAGGTATCTAATACTCTTTCTTCCTCCTATTTTCACCATAACAACAACCCTATGAAATGAATTGAGCTGAGGGAGAGCGACTGGCCAAAGATGATTCAGCTGGGTTTCATAGTTAAAGCTGGAGTGAAAGTCCTGGTTTTCTGGTTTCTAGCCTGTTGCCAAACTGATCCTTCCAGACTATTCTAAAATTATACCCATCTCAGGAACAGAGAAATATTTTTTCCAAATAGTAGAACCGTATGTCAGTGTTGTGGCAGAACAGGTTAATCCTTATCATTCTTAATATTGTGTGTTTATGCTCTGTACTAGGAAAAATCATTTCCTGTGAATCAGCCTTCTGCTCAGGGCAGGATCCACTGATAGCATCTCTTTAACATGATAATCAAGCATTGATAACTTGGTGAAAGAAAACTGCTTTCATGCGGCACCTCATTCCCTTGGCTGACAGTTTATACAGTTAGGAAGTTCTTCTTGAGATCTAGTTCTAGCCCACTGGATCTGGCCATGAAACTAAAGACTGCTAAATTTCCTCTCAATCATCTATGTGCTGAATGTCCTCTGATCTTTTAACTATTCCTCATATAGCTTAGCTTGCAGACTCTTTCCTAGGGGTCTTCTGAACTTTTGGTTATTGTTTCTGAATACATTGTTTTCACAATTCTCTACCTCTGAACTTTGAAGGGACTGCTATATTTTACTAGTGATTGAGGCGGGACAGTAACACATTGGCTTTGCTCTGATAAGGGCTGGTATTTGAAATGCCCATGTCTGTTCTGTTGAGAGCTGACACCCAGACACTTACTGTTTTCTGATTTGCTTTTTAATATTCCAGCATAACCCATTTGTGGTCATTTTTTAATCTCATTTCAGGCTCGCAAGAATGAGCTTGCCATTGAGGATATGGATGGTGGTACATTCACCATCAGCAACGGTGGAGTATTTGGATCTCTTTTTGGAACACCCATCATCAACCCGCCTCAGTCTGCCATCTTGGGCATGCATGGCATCTTTGACAGGCCTGTTGCTATTGGAGGCAAGGTACGATCCTGAAAGTTTAAGAGATCTCCTAACATTAGCCTAGTCACTGAAAACCACTTTTCCATGATCAGCTCTTATGCAGCTTTTTTTTTAAGCAGCAGAGAAGATTTTTAAATGGCCATCCAAATGAACATCAAGCTCATCAATGCTGCTCATGGAAAAGCATATCCTATTTGGTTATATTAATGTTGATAAGATTCTTTAGTTGAGAGGAAGGGAAAAATTGGTTAGCTTTAATCAAATAGTATAAAAGACATTGTAACTGTAAACCTTGACTTTTGTGACATTGTAGAAAACAAAACCATGTTCAGAGAATTCTTTTGGGCTATAAGTGATTTTAAAAGGATTTGGGTCTACTAAAAGCTCAAATTCTTTGCCAAGAAGTTAGAGATACATTTATTCAGTTTATATAGCCCTCTACTTACCAGGCAATTCTGGTAAAGATTAAGAACCTGGGATTATTTACTTTACTAAGGGTTAAAAACAAAAAGCAAAGGAAGAATGATAAAGTAATGTGGGGGAGGGGGGCAAGAGACAAGATTCATCTAATTACAAAGAATTAACAATTACAAAGACCGGATTCTTCTCCCAAGCCCTGTGTGTGTCTGGTGCAGAAGAATCAGGTCTTTGAGGCTTTTTAAAGGGCTAAGCTTTTGGGAAGGGGGCTGATTCATAGGGCACTTGAGGTTCTTGGGTAGCATAGAGAAAGTACAGTAAGTGAAACACATTGAGGCACAGACTAAGATGATGTTCAATTTAACAATGAGACTTCTCTTAATTTAGGTTGAGGTGCGACCAATGATGTTTGTGGCGCTGACTTATGATCACCGGTTGATTGATGGGAGGGAGGCAGTGACTTTCCTGCGCAAGATCAAGGCTGTAGTAGAAGATCCTCGAGTTCTGCTGCTTGACCTATAAAGGGTCACAGCACGTCCTATCTCACCCCATCCAGTAGACCAAGGATACAGCACCAGCAGATAAAACAGAGGACATTGAGGAATCAGCAGGGCTTCATTCCAGTCTTTTCTTCCCTAGTTGCAAGGGGTGTTTTAAAAGGAAATTTAAGAGAGACGCTCTCTTCTGAAGAGTTCACTTTATTCCCAGAATAAATCAAAGGCTATCCTGGTCTATTCATGTATAACCTTTCCATCCTGCCCACCTCGTCCAATCCAATTAGGTCTAACTTTGCCTCTTTCCTGAAGTTATTGCAGGAGGAGAAACTACTTGCTTCTTAGGTAGAGTTTCCTTCCCAGTCTGATTTTGCACGAAAATTTCAGCTTTTAATTCATTCTCTGGGGCAAGATGCCAGAAAAGAGATAAATTGCTGCTGGGTCTCTATTATGACATATATTTTGCAAAGTTAACAGGAGAGACAAGTTGTCTACCAGGATTCTTTATGCAGTGCCTGATCTTACCACCTCCATAATAAAAAGTTATTTATTGTACCCCCTCCTACCCAATTTTTATGGGGTTTTTTGGCTTTTACAGGCACTTCTGATATTAAGACTGTAACCCAACAACTGACTTTATAGCCTTTATTGGCATCAGGCAATTTATGGATGACTTTCAAGATTTTTTCTCTGCCCCAGGTTTTTAAGAACAGGAGGATCATAGTATAACTCAGATTGGGAAAAGATGAATAAGGCAGAATTGGTGTCCCTTCTTACAATTGGGACCAGCTCAAACTGGGTAATCTCCACAACTGTCCTAAATTCCATCCAATTCTCCTTGACTGACTTCTTCAGCTATTTGTCTACAGTGGTTTGGCCTGATTGTGTGGTATTGTGAGTTGGGACTCAATTGTCTCTGGCATATATCCTGGCATAAGACTGCTGGTTCATGGGGACATATCCTTAGTACAATAGTGTGCACATGTATTGTTGAGTAAGAGGGTTGCTAGTGCCTGCAGGGTTCAATACTCTTGCCCACTGCACAGAACTTGTAACTAAAATATTTAACAACAGATTTTAAAACAAAATAAAACAAAGAAATTATGCATGAGTGTCGTTTCTGATTTTCACTTTGCTGATTAGAAAAGTCTTTCCAGCCTTTCATAGAAGGAAAATTCAATGTTCCACAGGCAGCTCTTGAGAATTGTTGTTGCACTTGACTCTAAAGTTGAACCAGATGAGCTAATTAAAGGAGAAATCTTGAGCTGCTGAAATTTCACAAAAGTAAAATAACTGAATACAGTTGTGTTGACTTATTGGGCTTGAGACTTGGCTTTTCCCCAGGGAATTTAAATATGGCTTAATTAGTGTGTTCTGTTTTAACATGAACAAGTAAACTGTAATGTGCTTGACTTATGTGTGCTAACCCTCAGCTACTGGTCCAACAAATCCCTATTAGTCTTATTTAGAGATTCATATTAAAGAACTAAATATGTGCGTGAAGAAAAATGTCATTAGAAAAATAATGTGCCACACTCTCTAGTCTAGGCACAATTTCGCATGTGCTGTACTCTAAATTATTTTAATATTAAGTGAATCAATCATATTGCAAGTATTTTCTAAGATTAACCAAAACCTCTTTCTGTTTTCTGTTTGAGGGAGAAGATTTTTCCCTTGATTCAAATCTTGTGCATTCAGCATTTGTGTATGCTCTGTAACATGTCCGGTCAGCATGACCACTTTCATGCATGTGCCAAAGCTGGCCATTCCTTGGACAGAGTCCTGCTGGAACTGTAGTATCAGTGTGGCTTTTCTGGTTTCGGCCCAACCTAGGCCTTGCTTGAAAACCTTATTTGTGGCAGGTGGCAACATTTCTAAAAATTCACATAAGTCGTTGTGCTCCAGTTGTTTTATTGATGTTACAATAGTCAGAGACAAGACATTGGATAATCCACAGAAGTCCAAAGAAGAGTCTTTTCCTCACTTCCTTGCTAGGTAAAAGGTTGTGTCAGATCTACAAATAAGTCATGTTTTTTTGAAGGAAATACAAGCTGTGGCATATAAAACTTACTGAAAATGCCCCTAGTGGTACATTTACAAAAATGCACCACTAACCTGCAAAAGTTGTAACACCAAATAAAAAATGGGGTGAAAAAATATGAACATTTTATAGGGCAAATATATGCACGAAAAAATTAGATAACCCTCTGAAAATTGAACTAAACATGAGATACAGAAATGAGAAAATACAACATAAGGTTATCTCCTCATATTTGGTTTGGGGGGAAAAATCTATCAAGTAGGATAAAACAAGGAGATCCCTACTTATATTATTGTGAAGGCACATCAGATTTGGTCTTTGAAGTGCCAGAACTTACTTCAAGGGTAGGATGCTTGACTTCAATTTCTATTTGGGTTACATTGGACATCTTTAGGGCTCCAAATTGGTCATCACTGCCTTATAGGAAACTTGAGGTGCCTAGGATTTTTATGAAGCTGCTGTGGCACACAATTAGGAAGAAGAAAAAGAACAGAAGTGTCCTTTTGACTTCTTTTGAGCATGCAGATCCCAGCCCAATTCTGTGGATTCTTCCCTAGGCGACAGCAGTGCTGGTGTCTCAGATTCATTCATCTTGTAGGAACAAGTGCTTTTCAATGGATGTGGATCATTTGGAGCACAATTCGACAGACAAACTACTCAATTTGGTGTTCCATCAAGCATACTTCTTCCACCATCCCTTGCATTTAGAACTTAGTTTGCAACCATCTTATTCCATTGAATCGAATTGAAAAAAATGTGTGACTTAATCTTGCTTGCACCATTTGCACCAGAGCCCAAACGTTGCTTCGGATCATACTGCAGCAGCTAAAAAAATAAATAAATTGTAATTCAGAATTGCACTACATGCAAAACATTTATTTCTTGCTACTCTTGCACTTCCCATGCTTGAATAGCAACCTCAACCTCACCTCTGAGAGTAGTGATGAAGCAGACTGGCTGAGCTTTTCTGGAAGATAGATCTGGGTGTATGGATGAATCCCTGAGGGATGATTCAGCGATAAAGTCTGAAAAAGAAGTGGGGCTATTTAGAAATTATTAGCTGCTTTGCTTATAAGACAATATATTTACTATAGCACTCACTAAAGGTGACAATGTATTAACAAAATTAACAACTACCAGTAAGAAGATCTCAAGTGCAGACACTTGGTACACTTATATCATAGTACTTGTACTAAATCATGATTAACATGAGTTTAAATAATGCAACATTCTGTTTACTGCAAATCATTTGACATTTAATGCAAACAAAAATTCAGTTTATGCAAAGTTAGTGCATGTGCTGTCCCGAGTCACTTTACAGACGAGATGAGCGGCATAAAAAATTAATAAATAAAAATAAAAATGAGCAGTTGAGAGTATGAAATTAGCACTAATCTAGCATTAGAGTTTTAGACACTGCTACAGTACTTCAGTCTGCGCTTGTTTATTTTCATGTATTCACGTAGTATATGTGATGTTGCCTGTTATTTTTGTGATTTGTTTTCATCGTTCTCCCGCAGCACACAGAGAACAACTATTCAGGTAAGTCCAACGGTCTTTCTAAGAAATGCTTCTCCTGTTCAAAATAATGACTGATGGTATCAAGAGCTGCTGAAAGGACAAGCAGGGTCAGGAGGGAGCTCTACCTGTCCCAGTCTACCAGAGATCATCCATGGGCAAGATCAATGTAAACTTTGTGCTAAACCCAAGTGAGAAACCTGATTGAAACAAGTCAATATAATCCACTATTTCTTCCAAGACTGGTGCTGCAGCAGCCCAGCTACTTTCTCCACTATGTTCCCTCTAAAGAGGTGATTGACAGTTCAGCACATCTGGCTCAATTGATGGCTTCTTGAGGAGGAGATGTTCCATTGCTTCTTCAGAGAGTGCAGTAGTACCTCTCAAGGACACATTCAGTAATACCCCAACCCAGCTCTCTGTCACCTTCCTGAAGGCTTTCACCAACCAGGAAGGGCAAGNCCCAAAAGCACTTCCTGTGCTGCTATCTTTTGTTTTTAAAACTTGTAACCTCTCTTTTGAGGATTTCTTCAATCACAACTTTTTCAATCTTCCCTTTCCTCTAGGCCCATTCCCTTTTTTATATACATATTTTGTGATTTATGATCCTAAATTGAATAACCATGAGAAATTTAGAGAGCTCTTTCCTTGTGTGGGAACAGATTCTGACTGATGTTTATGTATGGATTGTAGTAAGTTATTATTGTTGAAAGAATCAGTATGAAATAGGGTGAAATATAAACATTTCTGAATATATTATATTAAGAAATAAAATAAAACATTAAACTGTAAATATTTAACATTATCAATAATTTTCAATCTTTTCTAAGTAACTTATTAGCTGCATCCTTATTTTGGTAACCAACATCAGATATTTGGTTATTGCAAAACAGCAAAAACTTATCATGATTGGTATTATTTTTAATAAAGGAAGTAGGATATCTTGGGAAACCTCCATATTAAAATTTAAAACCAGGAGAATATTTTCCACTGAATCCATTACATTATTGCAAGAACTAAATCTTTATTCAGTATGAATACCTCAACAGATGTGATTCCAGGACATTTAATCAAGCCTTAGTAAAAATGACCCAATATTTACTGTGGTTAAGATTATTAAATAAAAACCCATTTGAGTTATTTCTGATGCTAATGTTTTTGTAACAAATTTTTACTTATTACTTCCTCAACAGTGATTTATTTATTAAAGCAGATTACATTGATTTGTTGTTTATTATCTTTAAAAAGTCCTTTAATTATGATAGTTCATTCTTGAAAAGAAAGCTGAATTATTGTGTCCTTGGACATTAACATTAGTCTTGATATGTTGGTAGCAGTTTTAAGAATACAGAAGCTATTAAAAATCCTGGTATCCATTAAAGCATTTTTTTTTAAATTTTGAAAATATGCCATTCTATCTGAGTTTTGGATATGCATTGTTGATAATAGTGTCACTTCTTGTGTGAGGCTTTTGTATTTGCATTAAAAAAAATACACGGCATGTTTGAGATGCAAATCAATACATAAGTAAATGCCAGGTGAAATGTACTGCAGATTTGAAAATCTTTTGTAAAACTTGTGGTAAATATTCTTATGATGATATTTGCAGTAACATCCAGGAGATGAGAGCCCGACACAGGGACAGCTTCCTGAAGAAGCACAATATGAAATTAGGTTTTATGTCTGCCTTTGTGAAAGCTGCAGCCTTTGCTTTGCAAGAGCAGCCTGTTGTGAATGCAGGTAAGAAGCCGGAGCTTATATTTCTGAGTAGAAGACAGAGCAAGTATACAGTATGTGTAGCTGGGATTAGCCCTTTTTGTAATTAAATCTTTTTCCGCTAAGAAGGTCTACTATGTTACTGATTGTGTCACCTGGATTTGTTAGGTAAAAATTCCTGTGCTGAAACAAATGTTTTCTCAGCAAAAGAGTAATCAAAGTGGGGTTGAAAAAGACCCTCTGATTTTCATCTGGGGACATTTTGTCAATAATAATGAAGATGGTTTTATTAGGAAATGATTGTTTCCTGAGGCTGCCAGTGTATCCTCTGAGAGGATACTCTCCCACTTTGAGAAAATCTTAACTTACTTTTGTACTATGATGTGCAGAATCTTATTTTTTCACCATGATTTGTGGAAGCATATTTTTTTCACCGTGATTTGCAGCAGTCCTAAATTGCCTTGCCTCTATTTTCCTTTTCTGTAAGGCTTTACCCCTTGGGTTCTAATCTGAAAGTTCAACTTTGGAAAAAAGGCAGGAATTTCTCCCACTTGTAATATAGAATGCGGAAATAATGAATCAGTGAGACTTCCTTTTGCAGCCCTTTTTCAATACCTGGAATGGGAGACTACTGAGGGCCCCAACAAAAGGGCAAGATGTATGATAATAAGCATGCATTTTTAAATTTTCTTCTGCTCTTTCTTCCAATCTCCAAACTGCTGCACAAGTGAAAAGAAACTCTACTTGTCTTCTAAGCTCTCTAGCAAGTACCGAAGGCTTAGAAGAGGGACAGAGGTTTGTCTCACTTGGCTGATGATTTGAATAAGGTAAGAAATAATGGATGCCAACAGGCTCCACCCTGCTATTCCTTACTTTATTCAAACATTGTTTAAATAAGACAAAATTTTATGCTCTATCTTATCAGAGAGCTTGGAAAAAATGTGAAGCAGTTTGAAAGAATGAAGCAGCAGGGTACATTTCAACTACAATCTATTATTCAGATTGAAATAAAATTCTTTTTACGTGTTGCCTCGAATTCCTTTTTTGAGGCTTGGGATAGCTACTGTTCCCAAATTAATGACTGGTAAAAATGAACTGAGAGAAGCTCAACACATTGTGACTACATGGACTCACCCTTGTAGATGGTTTTGGTAACCACAGAATAGTTTAACCTGCCTTTTCCAGGATATGTTTTCAACTTCCCAGTCCAGTTTCAACTTATCTACTACACTTCTAGGGTTTCTTGGTGGAGCTTTATTCTGAACTTTGGTGTGTGTGCGTGTGCGCGCACACACACAAGATCCGCAACAGTAGGGATACTAGTATGTCCACAGTGCTATCTATCAGGCTGCTTGTTTTTAAAAAAATATTTTGAAAACAACACAGAAAGATGATCTGTAGCACAATCTTTACAAAATGCCACAGAGTGCAGCCCATAAATACATGCATACATACTGCTGTTAAAAAAAGACAAAAGTAGCCCTGAATGATAGAGATCATCTTAGAGTCATCTAAGATCATCTTAGAAATGCATTGAGATGTAGTTTTATATTTATATTAAAATTATTAAAATCAGTAGCTTACTAGTTATAGTACAGCTATTGCGGAAAATATTGCATGAACCAATAAGCCACACTCCAAAAGTAACTATATTTAAGATCACTATAACATAGTATCAAAATTACAATTGTATTCAGTGACCTCAAAAGATTATTTAGCATACACAGACAAGTTTGCATTAGGGAATATTGCAAAAACATATTGTAGAAAGTATATACAGTCTGTTAAGAAAAATATACCCAGAAATACGTAACACATTTTTCCAAGTCTTTGATAAGCAATGCAGAAATGGGATGAGGTGAAATTCAGCTGAAAAAAAATTAAAAACTGAGTGAAATTAAAATTTACAGATATGTCTTTCAAGTATTTCAAGTAAACTGAAAGAACTAATTTGCAGCAAATAGGAAGATACTGGATAGGCCTTGATTCTGATCATTATGTAGTTCTTCTAAGTCGAGTCTTCATTGTTGGTGTTGCTCTTTGTAACACCTATTTTCCGTTTTCAATTTAGTGATTGATGATACAACCAAAGAAATGGTATACAGAGAATATGTGGATATCAGTGTTGCAGTGGCAACTCCTAGGGTAGGTATTATGGAGACAATTTTCACCTGGCCAGTTGATTGCTCAAATTTATGAAAAAGGGATTGCAGGGGATAGAAGTAAACCAAGGCTGCCTGTATGAAATGGAAGCTGAACCTATTGACGTTGTCTTACTCTGCAGTGACAGATGAAGGAGGGTTACTCCTGTCCAAAAACCACATACAGGTAATCCCCAAGTTATGATAGCCCCTCCCCCAAGTACTTACAACTCAGTTTCTAATGTTCCAGCATCATGACACTTATGAATNTTTCAGTACTGTCTTAAGAAAAACATACCAGTTTCATCTAAAAGCAAATTTCGTGGGTTGAGATCCTGGCACAAGATTCCCTGTTGGTGGAGACCTTCCAGAGCTAAAATCAATTCAGCTGCCCAAATTTGGATCTGCTCCTCATTTATGACCCAACTGACAGGGGTATGGCTTTGGGCAACTGGTTCCACTGAAGATCCATGCCATCCTATTGTTGATTGGGTTTTGAAATGTTTATGATCAAGAATTGGTGCCCTCTGCATAAAAGGGTCTTCTTCTCTTGCTTCTATCTTCTCTCTGTGGTCCTCTTCAAGAGTTCCAGGATACAACTGGTTTTGCCACGGCGTTTCTTCCTTTGATTTGTTGTATCCTCTTGTTCCCTCTGGGGCAGTATAGCTAAACCTTTCACCTGTTTGTATCTTTGGTTCTGGCTGAGGAGTCTCTTTCCCAGATACATTCCCAATGCCATCAATTGTCATAAATGAATCACAGGATCTGAAAGTCAGTCTCTGACTGGCTGGCTGACTATGTTCTTGAGGTACTGTTTTGCTTGTAGGTTCTGTAGCACCAGGAAAGGGGTGGGTTGTGCTTAGATTCTCCCTCCATGGTCCACCTGCCTTTTCAATATGCCACCTGTGGTCACTTGAGGTTCTAGAAGAAAGAGGGCTGGATGAATGTTTCATAGACATCAAGCAGTCCATTTTTTTCAACAGGGGACAATTTACAGGTACAGGAATTGGGCCGTTATTGTTTTCAGGATAGATCTTGCAGCTCTGCTGAGAGTCAGAACCAGTTTCATGAAGGTTTTCTATGTGCTTCTCTTCCCTGATATACCCAAAATCCAAAGTGAGCTTTGGACTCAGCGAGGGAGAACGGACAGAGGCAGAACCATGATGGGAGCGAAGATATGACCAGAGATTTCCTCCTGTAAAAAGGGAGAAAAGTACCAGCTAGTAATAGTTGGAAACACTGCAAACCCAGATCTCTATTAGCTTCGCCTATTATTCCTGCCAATTCCAGCCACTACTATTAATCAGAATTCAGAAGGCTCACGAGTTATCTTCCTATATGTGGGCTGCAACCTTGCTTTCTGCTATCGGCAGAGTGACAATGGGACCTGGTCTCTCCATATTCAATTTCTTATATTTATTATAGGAGGAGAAACATTAATTTATGGTAGCAAAAAAACTCAAGGAGCCTGACAGCACTTTTTAGTAATCAGAAAAGATGATATGACATATTTCTCACACGTTAATTACCCAAGAGTTTTAGAAAAGAGAGATCTGGGAGATGGAATCAAGAATGCAACATATCTAGCAATAAATACTCACCTTTCACATGTTCCAAGTGGAGGAAGATGGAATCCTTACTTACAGAATAGCGCAGCAATTCTGTCATAAAGGGGATTCCATGTGGGATGATAGTCTGTCTTTCCCGGGTCTCCACATAGGATTTGGGAATACTCTGATAAAAAGAAAATAGTATCAGAAAAAATAAGCTAAGGATCTTCTTGGGCCAGATGTTTACCAGTGGGATTAAAAGTCCATCCTTGTTCTGACTATTCCTTCTTCAAAAAGCATAGATGAAAGTTGACCTTTAAAGGCACCATTCCACATGGACTACAGAATTCCTTCATAATTTTTCTAATATATTATCTCTTTTTAAAAAATAATTTTCATTAAAAGAAGATTTTACAAATATTTTTAAAACTTCAAAAACATAAAAGAAATAAAAAAAGAAAGTATAGAAGGAGAAAAGAGAAAATAAAAGATAAGACAGATAACCTTGATAGTCATTTTTTACTGTGAACATGCTGGCACACATTAAAAAAGAAATTCTGTTGCCCACTCTCACACATGCATACACACACCGCACACATATATACATGCTACACACACACACACACACACACACACACACACACACACAC